ATCTCTTTCTAACACAGCCCACCAACCCAACTCAAATCTATTCTTGTTGTCCTGCCTCAAGTTCAATAAGGGTACTTAGTCTGATTGAAAGCTATACCACTCTGATACACTCGATGTTCTATATACTGATGTATAGGGAGGTTACTGTGATTGACTACCAGTCTGAGAAATGGTGCAACTTTAACGACAGGGTTGTCATCAAGCAGAAAGGACAGGTGCCCTTGTGCACAACAATATCTGTCTATAGCTCTGGATAGAGCTAGTGAGAAACACTTACTTTCCTTTAAAATTCCTTTCCTGATTTTTTAAACACCAAAGACCAACAATGATGATCCTTATATACTGTATATATAATCATCTATGCATGATTTTTTTTAAAGTCTCTTTTGCTCACCAATGCTTTTTTATTATTATCTTACTTACCCCAAATTTTGGAATGTCATGGTTTCCACAAAATATTTTCAACATTGATAAAAATAAGAAATGAGAAATGTTTCTTGATCATTCACATTCACAGACGTCCATGAACCATTGCGGATCTCTGGGGATCCTTGAACGCTGTTTCTGTTCAGAGCCATTTACATAGATTTCTAATGTCAAGAATGGGTCTAAAGAGCAGTGCCTCTCCTGTCCCTTAATTGCCACTGCATTTAAAGCCCTCTGTTAACACCCCTGATCCTTTGCCATTAGGCTGCACCATGTGTGAAAGATAGAGCTTTAAAATAAAATGCAGTTTGATACATATTCAGCTGCAGGATCAGCTGAGCTTAAAAGGCAACCCAGATGGGGCTCAAACCCACAATCCTCTGCTCTAAAATCTGATCTGAGTCTACCAAGAGGCCACTGGGCTCATATAACAGTATTCCCAACAGCAAAGATCCCCGCTTTGAACCTGAGTAGTAAAATGTTCATTTGACACATATTTCAGTGCTTATACCCATAACCATCACTCTTTGGGAGATTTTCCTCATGTCAGCAGACATAAGAGATGAGATGAGTTTGACAGTCCAAACAAAGACGCACTGAGTATTCCTGGAAAATTGCCAAGAACACTCCGTCATCCAAAACAAGTTGATTCATCTTTAACAAGCTTAACAAGGGGCCAGTGAAAACACATGCTCATTTAGATGGCGTAAACCTGTTGTCTCAGGGCTTTCCCATTAAAAGAAAAAACGATGAGTGGACATGAGTTGAGTGCTCGTGAGGATTCTCAAGCCTAATTGTTTGAATAAAGCAGTAAAGATCAGTTCACACTCAAATAACTATATTGTTAACTATATTAGCATATACACCATTCTGTATATTATAAGTATGGGGTTTAAATGCTCAAGCTTGTTAAAGTCTTGTGGATTCTGATTGTCTGTCAGTGTTTTTATCATTCATCAGCTGGAAAAAAAATCCCTCTGAAAGTGATTCCAACAATATTGTTCCTTGTCATTGTTATAGTTGTGGTGTTGACTTCCCTGTTTATTCATAGTTAAAGTTACCATTATAGTTATCACCTTTGGTGTGAACGGGCCTTAATACAGACAAATAGTTATTGTCTCATACTCACTCATACTGCACTGCTCTGCAAAAGTGAATCAGACAATGATGTTGGTTAACCTAAATTTAGTTATTAGTAAGCCACATTTACAGCTGTTTCTTCAACTAGGGCACTTTAGGTCACGGAGATTCTCTATAGTTTGTTTCATTTGTCCACTAATAATGTCCAACACTTTATATAACATGTTTGTAGAAGGATCTGACAAGTCTGCAAATTCTCAATTAGAGGCATGGATGAAGGCTAATACAAGATTGAAATTGTTAAAGTATAATCGGCTAATGCGAGTTTATGTAATCCCAGTATTATTAAACAAATTCAACAAGAATATTACAGACATCTGTTCTAAATGCAATTCATGTAAAATATAATGTCTTTCGTTGTGTATGGGAGTGTAAAGAGATCTTGAAATTCTGGAAGGGAGTGCAGACTACAATAGAGAAAATAATCAATGCTACAATTTCACTTGAACCAAAAATGTTTATATTAAACTTATATCCTAGTCATTTTAAATTGAGAAGAAGAGAATATATTTGTGTCTAAATAGCTAAGTGTCTTATAGCGCTTCATAGGAAAAAGTTGGAGGCACCAAGAGGAGATGGCTCAAGGAGATGGCAATGAATATGTCGTTGGAGAAAATAACGTATATTATCAAAGGCAGATATAGGGCTTTTGAAGATGCTCAAACCCCTTTATGATTTTCTCAGAAAAAGAAATATATCTGGTTGTATTTTAGAAGATACGTAAGAAAATTATTGTTGGATACGTCTTGTACTAGGAGGCCTAATTTTTTTTTTTGTGTGTTTGTGTATGTATTTGTTGGTGTATATAAGTTTATATATTAATTTGTTCCCTTTCTTCTCTTTTGATTATCTGTATGTAAATAACTGAATGCTTATGTCAAAGCTGACAATTAATATAAAGTGATGTTTTTTTTTTTTTTCTTCATACTTTAAGATTAAAAGTTTGGCTCTGGAACAACAGTAAGAACAGAGCCAAGTTGGTTTTAATGTGATATTATACGTATAACTAAAAGAAAAGATTGAAATCAAATCTAAAAGTAAATTTAGTTTTGTTTTATTTACATTTAAATGTAGTTGTACTAAAAAATCAACCCCTGGAATTTAAAAGTGCCAGAAGCCAAAGAAACAGCCCTGTACCATGATTTCAGGTCCATTTCCAGGCAAACATTCAAAGGATTACTAAAGGCAGTTCAGATTCAGTAGCCGGGCAGAATGAGATCTAGACCAAGTGTGTGAGTCTATATTAGCGTCTCTACTCTAGGCTGGTATGCACAACTCTGTGTGAGGCACGTGAATGTAAACAGCAGTGATATACAACAGGTCCAGCTGGCAAACAGACAACTGTGTGCTTGTGTCATCATCACGTCTAATGCTGGTGTCCCTCTCGCTTGCTTAGGACCCTTTCACCTCAAGAAGGGGGGTGAGAATGTGGGTCTAAATATGACAGCCCACTCCACTCCTCAACCCCTTCCATCTCATTTCTCCATCCCCCTCCCTTCAAATCCGATCAACCTCCCCCCATGATCCAGAGCCATACTCATCATAACAACCCTTTTACAACAATGTCTCCCCCCCAAGAGCCAGACATAAAAACACACATGTACAGCTCTGCATCGAAATCAAACTGATGCTGGTTTTAAAATACAATCACATTCATAAAAGAGCCTTGCATGGCATATTCATTTCTGTTCCTATTTGACAGGAAACAGTAATCATTCACATACAGTGACATTTTCCCCACATGATAGTTTCCGGCAGACCTTCTGGGTGAAGAAGAGCTCTAAAACAGTGAGCTGAATCTATACTTCATTGATTCGGGTGGGGAATTGGGGCCTCTTATTTATTCCAGTACTGTTAGGAACTCAGAGATGAAACAAAGAAGATCCAGCTGACATTCTGGTGATGAGACACATATGACAAGTGAGCTGGCATAGCCACGGGCTGCCTACAACCCACTAACAAAGACACGCAAAGGCAGAAACAGAGAGAAGACAGTGGTAGATTTTCCAAATCTTGGCTCTTGAACAATAACTTCATTTTCATTTCATTACTGAATGAAATGTCTGCACTTTCTTTGAGTAACCATCATAAAATTCTTCAACTTAAACAACTATACTGTACTTCCCTGCTTTTCCCATCTCAATATAGCAACATGAGAGACTGGCAAGGACAAACTGCATGTCTGCATTGGATCCACGTGGCAACAAGGTCCAATCACAGAGCGAGCTTGAGTGAGACCAGGAACAGTGCAGAATCTGAATCAACCTACCTACATCTTAAAGGTGAAGCCTGGATCTGGATCTTTAGCACTCGTTCACTACTGAACTGTGCCACACTGAAATGAGGGGCTCTGAGGCAAATATCATCGACCCACTGTGCCAAAGCCACTGTCTGCTCAATAGACAGACATATAGACAGTCAGACATGTTGGCATGATAGCTGACCCATATTTTGCAATGCCCCATTTAACAGAAGCAAATGGCACCATGAGCATGCTGGAGAAGTAAGAGTTAAATTATGAATGAGAAGAGAATATCTGTGTAAGGAGAGCAGAGATCAGATGCAGATGGGGTGGGTGTGCTGTTTAAAGCTGTCAGATCTTAAGAAAAGAACGTTTTTTGTCAATACAGTAAAATACTGTGAAATTAACAAGCAGCTTGAAAGCGTCTGATAAGAGAAGTCATGGTCGCTATATCATCGGCTGTTATTTCCAGAACGCCAGAATAAATTGCATGGAAACGAGTCCCCAAAAACCGGTCAGCATACATTCAGAACGATTGTGTGTTTTTTTCACGCTGTGGTTAAAAAATGAACCCTGACAGAAGATCGATACAGTGCTCTCACGCGAGCGCGGTCGCTCTTTTACGCTAATAGACCCAATGATATGACGGAACGCAAGACGCAACATATCTCACGGTGTGTGACACGGAATGGCGCGCGGCCACATCTGCTTAATCAGCAGCAGTTGAGTCTGTTTCCCATTGTGTGAGTAAAACCCCCTCTCTACATCAGCCGAACCGGCTTTAAGGAAAAATGTATCGAGCTGAACGATACAACATGCCTGTATACGTAGTAAACTGTGCGTGCGTGCAGGCTATGTATATGCATCTGTCTGTGTCTGTGTCTGTCTGTCTGTAGCCTATGTATGTATTTATGCATCTATCTATCTATCTATCTATCTATCTATCTATCTATCTATCTATCTATCTATCTATCTATCTATCTATCTATCTATCTATAAGGATAGTGTCATACAGTAGTTCCCCCTGTCATTTTGGTCTAACATAAAAAGGCGATTGTATATTGCATTATGGTTATTTGCTCAAAGCTACTTTCGTGATAACAGGTTTCAGATTTTCAACATCTGCATGCTGGTCACGCTCATAAAGAATTTACGGTTTCATGTGTTTAAAGCGTCGTGTCAAACCTCTCACCTTCATATCATTGACAATCGCCTGGAATAATCCACCAAGAGCCCCGCACTCCTTCTCCACAGACTCCACGTTTATATTATCCATCTTCAGTGAATACAGAACCAAAAAAAAAAAAATCCTTGTGTTGAATTACTCCCACAATATCCAGAAGAAAGCGTGTTGAGAACTAAAAGCAGGAGAGTGTTAGTGGATGAGAGAGAGCTAGATTTCAGCAGAAGCTGTTGGTTTTGCTGCCCAGAGGATTGAGGCAGATGATGGGGAGAGACGAGAGAGATGTGGGGTTAACTCTCTCTCTCCTCGGCTCCGGATCTACTCTCCGCGGTTAGAGGAGGTTAGGCTCGTGGATGGCCCCGTAATAGTCACGGTCATCTTCGCACAACGAGGCTGAATCGAGCTGAATAGATGTGAGAAGCGGAGAGTGTGAGTGGAGCGGTGCATCGGTGCGCCACCCGCCCGGCTGAGACTAGTGAGTGAGTGAACTGAGCAGCAGCGGCGCAGCGCGGCAGGGCCAGTAACTCGATCTATGCGAATCGTATTGGGTAGAACAGTTTCTCTTGTCACATGGAGGCCAAAGGGAGGAGAGATGGGAAACAAACACACAACAGACCAAAGCGACTCATTCGTTCGGTTCAGTCTAAATATGAAACTCTGAAAGACAGACATTTCCAAAAGATTATAAAGGCTGCTACAGCCTCGTTGTCCGAAGATGACTGTGACTATTATGGGGCCATCCACGAGAACATACTATACTGGCCTATATAAATAGCTTAAAATTCTGGAAGACAATGAATTATTAATAATGGCTAATTAGGCTACATACAATTATTTTAAATTAAATATTTCACATTATAATAACATTAATTATTGTTATTATTATTCATCCTGTCATGTTGCATATTGTTTTGTGTATCCAGTTAAGTATGACAGATTAGTGATTGATTAGCTACTAAAGGGGCGGTTTGTTCAATGTTGCTAGCCACAAAGTTGTGGTAATCATTTACTTCCATAGTATGAAATATTTTTTTATATTCCACCAAAGAATGAAAGAAATGCAGGTTTGAAACAACATGAGGGTGAGTAAAAAACAGAACTTTCATTTCACGAGTTCACACTTACATCAATTAAACAGAGAAAAGATTATGTGTATTTGGCGTGCTGTCCAGGGGGAGGGCTCCGAGCTTGGAATTTTTGCCCAAACCCAGAGTACTCCCCCCATTGTTGTAAGAAGATGAGGAGATGGGGTGGTGGGGGGATGCTGTTAAACTGTTAATGAACAGAGGTAAGCTGCATAAATATATATAGCAGCACTCAGCCACTGGCAGCTGCCACTCAGCCACTGGCAGCTGCCACAGTCAGCAACTGGCAGCTGCGTTATATTCGCTGATCAGCCGCGGCTGGCTGGATGAGCGTCCAGCAAGTGTCTGTAAGCTGCCAGTCTGATCACGGCCATCTGACTGGTTTAATCGGGATAAACGGCCCAAAAATACCAATCATACACAAGAATAAATGCATGACATTATATTCATAATAAGAATTTTTTTTTATTTCCTTTCAGCGAGAGTGTCAGGCAACGCGTTATATTCGCTGATCAGCAGCGGCTGGCTGGATGAGCGTCCAGCAAGCGTCTGTAAGCTGCCAGTCGGATCACGGCCATTTGACTGGTTTAATCGGGATAAACGGCCCAAAAATACCAATCATACACAAGAATAAAGGCATGACATTATATTCATAATAAGAAATTTTTTTATTTCCTTTCAGCGAGAGTGTCAGGCAACGCGTTATATTCACTGATCAGCAGCGGCTGGCTGGATGAGCATCTAGCAAGCGTCTGCAAGCTGCCAGTCGGATCACGGCCATTTGACTGGTTTAATCGGGACAACAGTACCCAAAACACCGCTGGCAGCTGCCAGTCAGTCAACACACTCAGCCACTGGCAACTGCCAGTCAGCAACTGCCATGCAACTGGCAGCTGCCACTCAGCCACTGGCAGCTGCCACAGTCAGCAAATGGCAGCTGCCACTCATCCACTGGCAGCTGCCACTCAGCTGCTCAGCTGCCACTCAGCTGCCAGTCGGATCACGGCCATTTGACTGGTTTAATCGGGACAACAGTACCCAAAACACCGCTGGCAGCTGCCAGTCAGTCAACACACTCAGCCACTGTCAGCTGCCACTCAGCAACTGGCAGCTGCCACTCAGCCACTGGCAGCTGCCACAGTCAGCAACTGGCAGCTGCCACTCAGCCACTGGCAGCTGCCACTCAGCAACTTGCAACTGGCAGCTGCCACTCAGCCACTGGCAGCTGCCACTCAGCCACTGGCAGCTGCCACAGTCAGCAACTGGCAGCTGCCACTCATCCACTGGCAGCTGCCACTCAGCAACTCGTAGCTGCCACTCAGCAACTTGCAACTGGCAGCTGCCACTCATCCACTGGCAGCTGCCACTCAGCCACTGGCAGCTGCCACTCAGCCACTGGAAGCTGCCACTCAGCCACTGGCAGCTGCCACTCAGCAACTGACAACTGGCAGCTGCCACTCATCCAGTGGCAGCTGCCACTCAGCAACTGGCAGCTGCCACAGTCAGCAACTGGCAGCTGCCACAGTCAGCAACTGGCAGCTGCCACAGTCAGCAACTGGCAGCTGCGTTATATTCGCTAATCAGCCGCGGCTGGCTGGATGAGCGTCCAGCAAGCGTCTGTAATCTGCCAGTCGGATCACGGCCATTTGACTGGTTTAATCGGGACAAACGGCCCAAAAATACCAATCATACACAAGAATAAAGGCATGACATTATATTCAAAATAAGAATTTTTTTTTTTATTTCCTTTCAGCGATAGTGTCAGGTAACGCGTTATATTTGCTGATCAGCCGCGGCTGGCTGGATGAGCGTCCAGCAAGCGTCTGTAAGCTGCCAGTCGGATCACGGCCATTTGACTGGTTTAATCGGGATAAACGGCCCAAAAATACCAATCATACACAAGAATAAAGGCATGACATTATATTCATAATAAGAATTTTTTTTATTTCCTTTCAGCGAGAGTGTCAGGCAACGTGTTACATTCGCTGATCAGCAGCGGCTGGCTGGATGAGCGTCCAGCAAGCGGCTGCAAGCTGCCAGTCGGATCACGGCCATTTGACTGGTTTAATCGGGACAACAGTACCCAAAACACCGCTGGCAGCTGCCAGTCAGTCAACACACTCAGCCACTGGCAACTGCCAGTCAGCAACTGCCATGCAACTGGCAGCTGCCACTCAGCCACTGGCAGCTGCCACAGTCAGCCACTGGCAGCTGCACGGTATATTCGCTGATCAGCCGCAGGTGGCTGGATGAGCGTCCAGCAAGCGTCTGTAAGCTGCCAGTCGGATCACGGCCATTTGACTGGTTTAATCGGGATAAACGGCCCAAAAATACCAATCATACACAAGAATAAAGGCATGACATTATATTCATAATAATAATTTTTTTTTTATTTCCTTTCAGCGAGAGTGTCAGGCAACGCGTTATATTCGCTGATCAGCCGCGGCTGGCTGGATGAGCGTCCAGCAAGCGTCTGTAAGTTGCCAGTCGGATCACGCCCATTTGACTGGTTTAATCGGGATAAACGGCCCAAAAATACCAATCATACACAAGAATAAAGGCATGACATTATATTCATAATAAGAATTTTTTTTATTTCCTTTCAGCGAGAGTGTCAGGCAACGCGTTACATTCGCTGATCAGCCGCGGCTGGCTGGATGAGCGTCCAGCAAGCGTCTGTAAGCTGCCAGTCGGATCACGGCCATTTGACTGGTTTAATCGGGACAACAGTACCCAAAACACCGCTGGCAGCTGCCAGTCAGTCAACACACTCAGCCACTGGCAACTGCCAGTCAGCAACTGCCATGCAACTGGCAGCTGCCACACAGCCACTGGCAGCTGCCACAGTCAGCAACTGGCAGCTGCCACTCAGCAACTGGCAGCTGCCACTCATCCACTGGAAGCTGCCACTCAACAACTGGCAGCTGCCACTCATCCACTGGCAGCTGCCACTCAGCCACTGGCAGCTGCCACAGTCAGCAACTGGCAGCTGCCACTCATCCACTGGCAGCTGCCACTCAGCCACTGGCAGCTACCACTCATCCACTGGCAGCTGCCACTCAGCAACTGGCAGCTGCCACAGTCAGCAACTGGCAGCTGCCACAGTCAGCAACTGGCAGCTGCGTTATATTCGCTGATCAGCCGCGGCTGGCTGGATGAGCGTCCAGCAAGCGTCTGTAAGCTGCCAGTCGGATCACGGCCATTTGACTGGTTTAATCGGGACAAACTGCCCAAAAATACCAAACATACACAAGAATAAAGGCATGACATTATATTCAAAATAAGATTTTTTTTAATTTCCTTTCAACGAGAGTGTCAGGCAACGCGTTATATTCGCTGATCAGCCGCGGCCATTTGACTGGTTTAATCGGGACAAGAGTACCCAAAACACCGCTGGCAGCTGCCAGTCAGTCAACACACTTAGCCACTGGCAACTGCCAGTCAGCAACTGCCATGCAACTGGCAGCTGCCACTCAGCCACTGGCAGCTGCCACAGTCAGCCACTGGCAGCTGCACGGTATATTCGCTGATCAGCCGCGGCTGGCTGGATGAGCGTGCAGCAAGCGTCTGTAAGCTGCCAGTCGGATCACGGCCATTTGATTGGTTTAATCGGGATAAACGGCCCAAAAATACCAATCATACACAAGAATAAAGGCATGACATTATATTCATAATAAGAATTTTTTTTTTTATTTCCTTTCAGCGAGAGTGTCAGGCAACGCGTTATATTCGCTGATCAGCAGCGGCTGGCTGGATGAGCGTCCAGCAAGCGGCTGCAAGCTGCCAGTCGGATCACGGCCATTTGACTGGTTTAATCGGGACAACAGTACCCAAAACACCGCTGGCAGCTGCCAGTCACTCAACACACTCAGCCACTGGCAGCTGCCACTCAGCAACTTGCAACTGGCAGCTGCCACTCATCCACTGGCAGCTGCCACTCAGCAACTGGCAACTGGCAGCTGCCACTCAGCTGCCAGTCGGATCACGGCCATTTGACTGGTTTAATCGTGACAACAGTACCCAAAACACCGCTGGCAGCTGCCAGTCAGTCAACACACTCAGCCACTGGCAGCTGCCACTCAGCCACCGGCAGCTGCCACTCAGCAACTGGTAGCTGCCACTCAGCAACTGGCAGCTGCCACTCATCCACTGGTAGCTGCCACTCAGCAACTAGCAATTGGCAGCTGCCACTCATCCACTGGCAGCTGCCACTCAGCCACTGGCAGCTGCCACAGTCAGCAACTGGCAGCTGCCACTCAGCTGCCAGTCGGATCACGGCCATTTGACTGGTTTAATCGGGACAACAGTACCCAAAACACCGCTGGCAGCTGCCAGTCAGTCAACACACTCAGCCACTGGCAGCTGCCACTCAGCCACCGGCAGCTGCCACTCAGCAACTGGTAGCTGCCACTCAGC